CTGCCACTGGCTTTGTATTTAAGGGAGAGCATTTAATTAGGTTAACTGCTTTAACTTTCAGATTAATTAGTAACCATAGCTTTTGGTGTAATGCTTTCTGCACTGTTTATCACTACTGGCACATCTCTGTAGAGGCTCCTTGTTAGGAGGCCCACAGAGACGACATTATGAGAACATGAGGGCAAACTCAGCCCAGACCTGCTCAAACAAAGGGAGGATTAATCCGTCGGTCTCCCTCTTTTTTTTTTAGATTCTTGCCATAAGGTGAGTACGTTAGCAAGAGAGAGACAGAGAGGGGGAAAGTGAGAAATCACCTCCCCAGGGAGATGGTCGGTCACTCCAAGATCCCTTATTCTTCATTCTCTTCCTGAGCTTTTGGGCACATGACATGTTCCCAGCATGATTTCCAAGCCACCAGGTCCAGGACTTGAAACACAGTCAACCATGTGGGAGTCCAGACCTTAAACACTATGCCACCTGTTGGCCCAAGACACATAATTTATGTTCTGATATTCCCAAAAAGCTTGTTGCTGCCCCTAAATTGGATCCTTTTTCAATTAACTATGTCCTTACATTTATCTTATCAAATAGAACCTTAGGATTCCATTGAGGTTGGGGCTAAAATCAAAACAACTTCCACAAATGGGATAAAGGTCTGAGACCAATGTTCATTCACTTGATTATTGGTCCTCGTTCATTTACCCTTGTATGGGTAGCAACTGGCAGTTGTGTATCCTGCAGATTTGGGTATGAAATAATGTTACATTCGTTATTGCTGACCAGCATCAGGCCTGTTTGTGAGCTGCCCACTCTCCGTGTTTATACTCATGTCTGCACATGACTTTCTCAACATCTTAGGGGAAAAAATGACTCTTTGATGCCTAAAAGCACTACTGCCTCATATGGGTGTTAAGGTACCTTATTACTTAGAGTCTAGGAATCCTGGCAAGATGCCTGGACATGCTGTGCTGAAGCCCAAAGGCAGTCATAACCAGTTGAGGCTCAGGCATACAGTCTACCAGACCAAATCCTAGTGTCAGGAACACCAGAGGCCGTCCACGAGAATTTCCTCGGATGCTGAACTTCATTTTCCTGCTAGTCTGCAGTCTTTTTTTTTGCTCCCTTTTTTTTTTTTTTTTGGAGAGGTTTTCACTATAGGGCGCGTGCGCTCGCCAGACAGAGAGAGACATAGAGACAGAAAGCAGGAAATCACCCCCCAGGAGGGATGGCCACGCCGCAATCCCTTCTCCTCCATTCTCCTCTTGGGATCTTGGGCATGCATGCACTCGCGCCTGGCGTGAGTTTAAGCCACCAGGTCCGGGACTCGAACCACGGTTGACTACGTGGGAGTCCAGCGACATAGCCTTTACACTAACTGCTGGTCCCGCTAGTCTGCCGTCTTTAAATGGAATATATATTTTATTTATTTATTTAAAGATTTTTGCTATAGGGTGCATACACTCACCGGAGAGACAGAGCAAGACAGAAAGCGAGAAATCACTCCCTGAGGGAGGATGGTCACACTACAGTCCCTTCTCCTCCATTCCCCTCTTGGGATTTTGGGCACAGATACACACGCATCCCACATGAGTTTCAAGTTGCTGGGCCCAGGACTCAAACCACAGTCGACCACACGGGAGTCTAGTGTTTTAACCAGTACACCACCTGCTGGCCCCTAAATGGAATATGTATGTTTTGTGTGTGTTTTATTTTGAGGTTTTTGCCACAAAGCACATGTGCTCACCAGAAAGAGACAGAGAAAGAAAGAAAGAGAGAGAGTGAGAAATCACCACCCATGGTGGATGGCCACACTACAATCCCTTCTTCTCCAATCTCCTCTTGGAATTTTAGGCATGCGTGCAAATGCTTGAAAATCGTGCCAGGTTCAGGACTCAAACTATGGTCAGCCATGTGGAAGTTCAGTGGTTTAATCACCGTGCTACCTGCTAGCCCTGTTCTGTGTTTTGAGGTAAAGGAAGAGCCTTTTGTCCTGCAAGAACTGCCATTTAGGAAAAAAATCTTTTATGTTTAAAACAAAACTTTTTCTAAATAGAAGAAGGAAATGTAAAATTCTAAGTGGCAGATCTCCAGAAAGATTAGTGGAAACAGTGCTTTAGAATTTCCTTCTTTGATTTATCAAGGTGCTCAAAAGAGACATTCACGGCATTGCACCTGTTTGGCTGCAGGTCCCGACTGAAGGAGGCAGGCAGAACGCTGTGACAAGTCAACGGACTCTGTAGTCTATCATGATTGTTAAGCTTTAGAAGAAAGATTGAGACCTTAGCTTTGGTTGTATATTATGGATTACCTCAGCCAAAGTCCAAGGTCTTCCTTCCTTTTCTGAAAGAGAAATTGTTTTTTGAAGGAAGTACTTTGATAAGTGGTTAGGAGAGAGAATGAGTCTCTGGGCTTGGTGGCTGGCCAGTGCTTCAGGGGAGAGGGAAGCTCCTCAGCATCACAGAAGTAGAATAGCTGATGAGGAGAGGTCAGAAGCAGGGGGAGGAGGTGAGTGAGAGCACGCACAGACACACCCTTCCTTTTTTTTTTTATATTTTTATTTTGAGAGAGATTTTTGCTATAGGGCCTGTGTGCTCACCAGAGAGACAGAGACAGAGGGACAAAACAAGAAATCCCACCCCACCCCAGCCCCGGGGGGGACGGCCATGCTGCAATCCCTTTTCTTCCATTCTCCACTTGGGATTTTGGGCATGCACGCACACACAACTGGCATGAGTCTCAAGCTGTCAGGTCTGGGACCGTAACTGCAGTTGACTACATGGGAGTCGTGGGAGTCCAGTGAT